CAGTGGGACTTTGGCTACTGTGTGTAGTAAAGCTATACATGTGTTCAGGGAGGCTTTGGATTGTACAGTGTAAGAGAAGTATGCAGCACTCTTAGTGGACTAGTAAGACTTTTAGTAACAAGAAGCTTAGAATCTAGTTCCATTTCCACATCAGAAATATTGTTGCTGTAATAATCAATGATGGCTCTTGGATTGAAAATATAAAAGGGAGTGATATAGGTTGACAAATAATTTTTGATGCTCTCTAGGGAAATGGAGAGTCTCCAATATATTATTTAGAGATTTTGAAATATTATGAAGATTTTATTGGAATTCATGAGAAAGTGATAAAGAGAATCATATCTATGAGTGTATGGACCACTGGGGACATTTTTTATGACCCTATTGTGCTATGCCTTGTAGCCAAAAAAAGAGGCCTGTTCATTTCCATGTGCCCACTGGTTTTTAAAATCTGCAGCATTCATAGGGGACCCAGATATCTTCATATTTTCTTCCTGTTTGGAGAAGCCTGTCCACCATCTCTTCTCCAGACATTTTTGCCATCAATTTTCCAATCACGTTCCTTCCAAGCCCCTGAGCCAAACCATTGACCATAGGCCATGAATTAGTACATAGACACATATGACTATTTCTGCTTTCAAGCAAATTGTTTACCAGATGCACTGCCGTGGCTCTGTTTACCACATTCTCACTACTCACAGGGAGAATTTCCCTTCCCCCCCTAACTTCAGGGATGAACCAAAAAGGAGCCATAGTACTGTAGCTGTTCACTTCCAAGTAGGGTCTGTATGTTGCCCAGAATACTAAAGATTTCTCTTTCTAGGAAAGAAACTTAAGAAGAAATCTTGTCTAGAAAGGGTGCTAAGGAATTGCTTTCCTATCATTTTATCACTCCATATAAAAGGAACTATAAGCCAGTGTTCTTTAGAGAACCACGGCAAGGACAGGCTTTGTTTTCTCCTTCAAAAAAGGGTTTTTTAAAGGTTCTTCACTTTAGTAAATGAAATTAATAATTATTATAGTATGTGGTGATTGAGACATATCTAGTGTTTAAACTTATTTCTAATTTTTCATAATACTGAAACATTAAAAATTTACAAGTTGTTGGGAGTTACTGTTTCTGTATAGTTAGATATACTAACACACACACACACATACACAAAAATATATATATGTATGTTTTTCTTTTCCCCCTTACAGATGCTGTCTCTTTTACCAGCAAGGATTATCCGATTATTAGAATTTATTGGATTTTCTGGAAACAGGGTACAAATTTAATTTTATTAATTTTGGCATTGTTTATTAACTATGAGAATATTGTAACTTGTCCTTCCAAGTAGCATGAAAATGGTTGGCAATTTGTTTGTAGGACAATAAAGAACCATTGGTCTTGATCATGTCTTTCAGGAATTAAGCATGGATTTTCTGTTGAAAGTTTAAAATCTCATCTTTCTTACCCTAGATTCTGGGTTTAAGAATTATGTTTTACTGATATTGCTGCTTGCTGGATCTTTATTACTTCTATGTGGTTAAACTACTTCCTTATTATTTTACTAACCCCAGAGTTATCTTCTGTAAAACAAAGAAATTGGGATAGATTTCCATATCTAATAGTTTATAATTCTGACAGATTAATAGCATGGATTAAATATAGTGGCAATATTTTGGATTTCCATATTTTTTACTAGTTTCACTGTGGAACTAAGTGAGAAAATTTGCTTTCTGTGAGTTTTATTCATTCAGTTTCTGTGTGGTGGATGTTTCGTAGCAAGTATATAGCATTTATTAATCATAGCACTCAGTTTGCTATTACAAGAGTTGTCTCTTTGCAAAAACTGTTTCTTTTAGTCAAAGAGCAGGTTTTGAGACATGTAATGAATAAATGAAAGAAAAAACGTTTATTCCACTGTCCATATTCTTCCTAGGCTATTATGTATTTGTGGTGATCTCTTTATGATAGGGTTTGTATATTTTGGTACATTTTTATCTTACTCTTTAACCATTCATCTTCCACCTTATTCCTTCAGTAGCTCCCGGTTACCCCCCCACCCCCATGATACTGGGACTGACTCCAGGGTCTTATGCAAGTCTGGCAAGTGTTCTACCACTGAACTACTTCCTCAGCCCCTAGTTGGCCTCTTGAATAAAGTCCAGACTCTAACATGGCTTAAAGGTCCTCATAATCTGAATACTCATGCTGAACTGAGTTAGTTGTTCCTTAAACAGGCCCTGAGCTTTCCTGTTTCTGTGCTTCTGCTTGTCTCCATTTTCAGACATCTTCCACAATGAGCTTCCTCCCAATAATATTCTCTTGAGAGCCTCTCCATTCACTGGATTTGAAATAAATGCCACCCATTCCACAAAGCTTTCCATTAGTTGCCCAACAGGCTCAAGCATTCCTAACTTCCAGAATCATTCATTCGTTTTTCTTAGGGCACTCACTGTATTCTAACACCATGGTGTTCATGCGCTGTCTTCCTCAGTTGATGGCAAGGTCTTTGCAGACATTCTCACCAGAGTGCTTTGCACTTGAATCCTCAGTATGTTTTAATAAGTATATATTTTTATTAGAGAAATATAGCATGTTTATGAAGTGAGCACTGCCTTATTCTCTTGCTAAAATCACTTAATACAAAAGAATTGGTGAGATTGTGTTATGCCAGTCAAAATATGAAGTTTGTTTCTAGTTGAGCATTACCACTATTTTAAACTTCTAAAAAAATACCCCACCTTCATGGAGGGCAGAAATAAATTAATTAACGTGATAGTTTTCATTTATAATCTTTCAATTGTGATTGATTCACATAGGAGTTGGGCCTCCTGCAGCTTCGGGAAGGTGCATCGGGAAGAAGCATGAGGTCTTCACTGTGCTGCCTAACCATCCTGGCTTTCCACACTTACATCTCCCTCATACTTGGTAAGGTGTAGATTATATTATGCTTCATTGAAAGTAGGTTATCTTTAATCTGAATATGTAAAAATGTAGAAAAATCAGTTAGTAGTTTCTGCCTGTTTGCTTTTTTTTGAGTAAAGATGGAAAATAGTGACATTGTCATAGTGACATATGACAGGGAGTGGGCTCCTTTCTTTCACTGAAGATTTTTCTTTTTCTTCTCAGCTAAAATTTCTGCATTAAAGTAATCTATTTTATCATATTTAGATTTATTTTGTGTTAGATTAATTTTTTGACTAAAATAAATTAATATTGCTATTGAAACCAGAAACTCCAATTAGGAAATTAGGAATTTAAGATAGCTGCCTCTATTCTCAAGAATTCATCTGACCCAGAGCTGTCTAGAATAGTCATAGATGACGCTTGTCTTTATTTCTCAAATGTGAAAAATGAGAAAGTAATCATTTTCATTTTTTCCATGAATATGTCTTTACTACATGTTAGTGAGATATGGAGAGAGAGTTATAAACACCTGCCATGTTTCATGAAGACTGAGGTTTTTCCTGTTGAATTTCTAGGTACAGGAGAAGTGAATGTTGGGGAAGCAGAGAGTCTCCTTGCACCCTTCCTCCAGCAGTTTCCAAACGTATGTTTGGTATTTCAATTGTATGTTTCAACCATAATCAATCAGCCAGCATTGATTGTTGAACAGTGTGTTTTCTTCCTTTCTGTACAGGGCTCACTCATGTTGTTTTATCATGCCCGAATCGAGTTGCTGAAAGGGAATATTGAAGAGGTAACTTTTTTGGTGGGAGTTGTTTGGGGGAGCTATCTGTGTAGTAGAATTGCATCACACAGCCATTCTACATAAGTAAATCCAGCTATGTGGACTAGCTAAAAATAAAGAAAAAGACATTTTAATTAAAAGGCCCACATTTTAACTTGTGTATATATCCTATTATATATAGTAGGTTACTGAAAGCAACCTTACACATAAAACGCATGAGACAGTTCAGAGTAGAATATACAAAATAACAGGTAGGTAGTCTGAGGCATTTTCAAAAACTTTTGATTGTTATCAATTACTGCATTGTATACATTACCTTTGGAATGTAGGACATATATAAGATGCAGTTCCATTGTATTGTGTGTGGGCTCTTCATCAAAGGATCTTATTCACAAGTTCCCTGAAGATGTAAGAGCGAGGAGCCTTTTATGTGCATACACACACAAATGAGATCAAACATGTATATTTTTCTGTGATTTTTTTTTTCCTGTTTACAATTCATCTTGGATCTTTCTCCAGGTCAGTATATAAAAATCTCCTTCACTCTTTCTGATGGCTTGGTTTCATTTTATGGGATGAATATACTATACTAAAGTCTACTATTGGTAGATATTTGTCCACTACAAATAATGCTGTTGACAGCAGCATTGTATGTTCATTTCTGTGCACAAGTATATTGACCTAAGCCAGATTCTGATCATTAGAATGGCTAGGTTGGACTATGTTTACATTTTGATCTATCTAGCCAAAATGTCCTCCTTTTTTAAAGGTTCTTACAACGAGAACTCTCGTAATGAAATGAGAATGCTTGTTTCCAGTGCTCTTTGTGAAGTCTAGACATTTTTCATCTTCTAAATTTTTGCCAATGTGATCGTTGATAAATAACAGATCTGATTTTTATGTTTATATTGCCCAGTTTACAAATTTCTTTATATATATGTCATTTGTAAATCTTTTTCTCTGGTTTGCTTGTTTCAATCTTCACCATTTTCCCTTTGAGTCTAATCTTAAAGAATCTTACAAAATTTATGTCTGATAAGGGGTTAGTTAACCTTTTGCCAGGTGTGAGCAGACATGTTTTCTCTGAGTCTTCTAGTGCCTGGGACTGTGTTTATAGTGTGTTTTATCCATTGGAAGTTCTACCTTTATTATTGTCAGTCTTCTTTTTAAAGGACTTAAGTATTATATATCTGGAAAGGAGCTTCCCCACTCCCACATTATAAAATGCCAGGGTCCCTCACAAAGTTACATGAAAAGACAGAACTTAGCTGTATTATTGCATGTAAGCAGAGAATCATATTTATCCTATTGAGTGGTTTAATAAGTGATAATTTGGTTCTTTTTGTACAAAGTGTTTTATGTATTTTTCCATTAGGTTATTATCTCCTTGTCTAATATCTGGATGATCAGCTTTATGCAATTGACTTATAGGCACAAGAGATATTTCGAAAATGCATTTCAGTTCAAGAAGAATGGAAACAGTTTCACCATCTCTGTTACTGGGAGCTAATGTGGATTTATGTATACCAACAAAACTGGATGCAGGCGTATTACTATTCAGATCTGCTTTGCAAAGAGAGTAAATGGTCCAAGGTAAGTGTACTGCTTTCATTTGCTTATAAATGCCAGGATGAATTTTACTTAGGATTGTTTGTTCAGCAGTATGACATTGAGGGAATGTGCATTAAGTACCTAGTACTTAGCACTATTGTCAGTATTATGCGCTTTAAAAGCCATCCAAAGGGTTATAACAAAGAGATTTTACTCTTTAAGAAGAACTGCACTTATATTTAAAGTTATTACATATCAATACTGTAATCTTGATAACTTTTTTGTAGATTTTCCAGTTCCCTGATGACCAGGCTTTTCATAATAATTAAAATAAATTCTGATTAATTTGTGAGGAGTTGGGAGGAGTGAGACAGTGAGCTTTCATTCATTTTGCCTACTTTCTCACCTATGAGTGATATAGTTATATAATAGGAAAATGGTCTAAATTAATTGGTCAGTGTTTTTCTTGATTGGAAATGACAACTTAAAACTTCTATTTCCTTTGGTTTCTTTGATGCCTTTTAATATTATATCTGGAAGATTTGTAGTTCATTTCTGATTTTCTAGGTAGAAAGTTCTTGTACCTCAAGATGTTATTATAGCAAGCTCTTTTTTTCTCCTCAAGGCAACATATGTATTTTTGAAAGCTGCAATTTTGAGTATGCTTCCTGAGGAAGATGTGGTGGCAACTAATGAGAATGTGGTAACTTTATTCAGGTAGGCAAGACACTGTTTCTTTAACAAAGACCCTGAATATATAAACCAGTACACTAGTACATCTTTTGCCTTTTTTCCTTAGAGCTCCCTCATGATTCACTTTCATATTTCTTAGATGGGAACCCCTAAACAATTTATTTACACAAGAGTCAAAATACCATTCTTCGGATAGGATTTTGCATATATGCTTGTGTGACAGGGAATTTTGAGAACATATTGTTTTATTTATGTCTTAAAACTACTTTTTTTTTTAAAATTTAAACTGGGGCTTTGCTAGTGCAATTATACTGGATTTCCCCCTTCCTATTTCATCTTACTCTTTCAGTGATGTAATTGGATATTTCCTTGAATTCTTTTCTCAACAACTTGTTTGATATATTCATAAAATTATGCATTAGAAAATGCCCTCAGGAACATGTAATCTTCCCACCTACTTTCATTTTTATTTGCTTGTGAATTTCATAATTGAAATTTTTTAGAATTTTGAGAGGAAGTTTATAAATATGGTGCATATCTTAAACTGATTATTTCCAAAATCACCTATGCTTGGGAAACATTTTCTCAAAGTCTGCCTTAATTGATGGCTATCTTGTGCCACATTATTTTATAGATCTGTGTTGGTCTTGCAAATAGGAACAATAACAGTGTATGCTCCGTTCCCTCTCTGTGGGTATCCACACTGTAAGGAAATACCTTGTACTATTTCCTGTTTTCTTATGTGAATTGTCAATTTTATATTTACATTGCCTGGACTGTGTTTGATATATGTAGTTTATTAGCTAAATTGACTAGAAGAAATGTGTCAATCAGTGATTCTCACTTGGGTGTACATCAGAGTACATGCTGAGTGTGCATCAGACTCTTGATTGCTGGTCCCACCACTGGAATTGTTGATTTAGTAGGTCTAGGGAAGGTCCTGAGATTTGGCATTTCAAACAGGCTCCCAGCATCTGCTGCTGCTGTGTGCCCTGCAATGTGAAAACCACAGGTGTAAATAATGTGTGTTTACTGACCTTTCTTTGGGGTTGGGGATCTTCACAGACAGGTGGATGGCTTGAAGCAGAGAATTGCTGGTAAATCTCTCCCTACTGAGAAGTTTGCAGTGAGGAAGGCTCGGCGTTACTCCCCCTCCTTGCCTGACCCTGTAAAGCTGGTCCTGCCAGCCCTGGTTTGTGCTTTTATTTTATTTATTATTTGCATACTAGAAATAGTGTACTCAGAGCATCAGGGAGAATGTTAACTTTGGTTGGGAAGATAGCTGTTTTAAAAACCATTTTGTTTTGTAAGGTAAACCTAAGTGATTTATTAACAAATAATAAAAATTATAGCTGATTTTTTTTTACTAGTTCATATACTCCAGGAATTATGATAAAGGCTAATTTCTTTTTAGAGAACCATATCAATTTAATTCTTATAATACCTATGAATGTTAGCCCCATTTTATAGATAAGAAAGTTTAGGCAGAGAGAAGGGAAAGTTGACTTCATTGAAATTGAATTGAAATAGAATGTGAGCCACTGATCTAATCATATCTTTTCTAATAGCTTATTTAAAAAGTGAAAAGAAGTCTGTAATTAATTTTAAGAATGTATTTTGTTTAACCCAGTATATGCCAACTTTTGCCACTTCAACATGTAATGGGAAAAAAACTTGTTCAGAAGACATTTTACTAGTTCTTGGAAGTCAGTGTGTCTTTCATACTTAGATGACACATTAGTTTGAAATAGCCGTCCTTATAGTGCTCAAGAGTGCCAAGTGGGTGGTGACTGTTTAGTCCTGCTCCAGCTGATACTCCTAATTATTATGCCTTTTAGGTAAGACCTCTGTGAAAAACACAATTTCAATTTAATTAATGAAACCTTCCTTTAAAGATATATTTGAATATATTGAGTTACCATGACTCTTTTGAGGGCTTAGTTTTTGGAAAGGTAGTCAACACAGGAAAGCTGTTCAGTGCAAGTCGATATCTGTAGCCCTCTTGTGGGGGTTCCTGAATCTGTTTGCCTTTTTATTCTAGATTTTATTCAGCCATTCCCCTTTGACTATTCTATAGGTTTTTCTGGTTTTTACTACATACAACACATGACAGCAAATATCCTTTTTTTGTATATGTATATGTACTTCCCTCAGAATGATTTCTAGAGATGGAATTCCTGGTTGAAGGGTATATACATTTAATATTTTGGTAAATATTTCCATATTTCCCTCCAAAGAAGCTGTACCAATTTAAATCACTACCAACAATATTTTATTCTTTTGATTTGCATTTCCTTTTTGGTGCCATTGAGCATGTTTTTATGGGTTCGTGCAGTTTTTTTTTTTTTTTTGGCATTACTGGGGATTGAACTCGGGGTGCTGTACCACTAAGAACATTTTACTTATTTAATTTTTAGTACTGAGGATTGAAACTGGTGTGTGTGGGTTCATTCATTTTTATTTCTTCTTTTGTGAATTGTTGTTTACATCCTTCCTTAACTTTTCATTGGGTTGTTTCTTGTTCTGTTATTGACTTATAGAACCTCTACATCCCCTTGCAGGTATCAGATAGGAGTTGGCTTGCAACTACCACTAAGGCCCAAGTGTTCCAAACTTAAAACAGTTCCAGAGAACACCAACATCAGACAGTTTCCTTCCGTGTCTGTAATGAAGGAAGACAAAAATGTGGCCACTCTGTAATCATGTCTGAGCTGAGCCTGCCTCCTTCTGATAAAATATTACATCAATAAAAATTTTTTAAATCATCATCAATTTAAAAATATTCTCAGTTATTGAATTGAGCTCTTACTCTGTTAGCAGTAAGAAAATATGTAAAATGAAAGGCAGAGTGCTGTGATCTTAGCATTCAGTGTCATTAAATAAACTCACCACCATTCTGCCTGAATGAGGCTTCTGCATTTCTGTTGCTTCCCTGGTAAGAGGCTTTTCAAGTAATATCTATCATATTTTAAATTTTATTTATTTCAAAAGAGATACTAATTACTTTGCTTATTGTATACCCTTCAAAATATGAACTGCACTATCAGGAACACTGGTAAAATATTTTCAAGCAAAAGCACATTTGCTTTTGGTCTAAAAAAAAATTCTCATCTGTTTGCCAATTGAATATAATAGGCAATGAGAAATCATTAATTTACATTTTCAGGAGCTGTCATTTAGCCATATGGCTTTAAATGGGTGCTTTTTTGCATATTGGATTGCACTACTGGACCAACACATATTTTTAATGGTATAAAAGAACCTGAGCCCAGTGAAATATTTCAATGTTTATTTTCAGTGATAGGCTTGGAAACAGTTTATGTAAACAATTGGCAGACATTTTAAAATATTTCCCTTTAAAGTAACAATAAAAATTATATTAAACAGAACTGTTAATAGTGTGATTTAAAAATGTTATATTTCTTATATCTGTATTCTGAAAAATTGCATACTTATAGTTACTTAATATTTATTGAACAAAGAAGTTATTTTTTCAGTAAAATCATAATATATATATATATACTGAATTACTTCCCAGTACAAAGGCAAAAGATGTATCATAAAACAAGGGGAAATTATATCACTAAATTCCAAATGAAGAAAGCTAAAGAATATGATCCCTAAATACTATCTTGTGATCCCTAGCAATCATGGCAAAATACATGCATGTACTTTTGAAATCATGAAGGATGTTGAATAACCTCACATAATTGGGAATGATTTTTCATTCTTCCTCATTAGGAAATGATGTATGTCTGGAATGGTTTTTCAATAGTGGGTAAAAGAAAAGACGTTTCTGAAAATCTCTTGGTAACCATTGAAATGGCCGAGGCAGCTTTACAAAATCAAAGTAAGTGTGAAGAGTAAACCTGTAGTCATCTTTCTCTGTGCTCCATTTCCATTCTCCTGCCTTTTCCCTTGCATCTTTGTCCACGTCAATCTGTGTGCAGCTTGAGGACAGCAGCTTTTGCTGCAGGGTGGTTGTAATTAAGATGAAGGGAGGAATGACATGTTGCAACAAGGAGGAACCTTGGAAACACTGGGCTGAATGAAAGAAACCAGTCACAAAAGGCCATTTTTTATGTGATTTCATTTATATTTCATGCCCAGCAGAGGCCAGTGTTTAAGACTGAAAGCAGATTAATAGTTGAAAGGGATGGAGGAATTGGGGTGGGGTGTGATAGCTAAAGTGTACAGCATTTTATTGAGGAGGGGGTGAAAATGTTCTAAAATTGTGATAGTTGCCCAATTATATAAATGTACTAAAAACGATTGAATTATATACTTCAATGAACAAGATGTATAGCATGTAAATTGTATCAGAAAACTGTTAAAAAAAAAAAAAAGAAGGGAGAAAGACAGGCATTCCAGGGTAAAAGCAGCACAAAGAATGCAGGCTCTTCCTTCTGGTTTAGCTGTGACTCTTTCCAGGCCTCCTGATTGCTCTCCAGGTTGGCGTGTTTCTGGAGACTTGAGGAATTGTTGTTTTCACGTTCGGATCTTATCACCATTTGATTTTTCACTCATTACCTTTGGTGATGCTAGTGGTTTACCAAGGTTTGCCAGAGGCAGCTGACAGAATGACAGGGGCATCAGATATGGTGTCTGTGGCCCCAGCTCTGCAGCCCTCAGACTCTGGAAAAACACCTATTTCTTTTGAAATGAGAACACTGTTGGGCCAATGTTGCCCAGAGTTGTTTTCTTGCTCTGACATTTATAATTCTGTTTTTTTTAAAGAATTTTTTAATATTTATTTTTTAGTTTTCAGTGGACACAATATCTTTTTATCTTATTTTGTATGTGGTGCTGAGGATCGAACCCAGCGCCCCGCACATGCCAGGCGAGCGCACTACTGCTTGAGCCACATCCCCAGCCCATAATTCTGTTTTTTTAAAAAGAGGATTTATGTTTTGTTAGACAGTGCCATCAGTGATAGCCTCTATTGTGTTTCTTATCAATGCAAGACCACTTAGGTATTATCCCAAAATTATGGTCTTATCTTTTGGAATGTTATAACCACAGAAGTAAAATGGAAATTTTCCTGGTGATAAACCTGCTTAATGGGCATAGAAATTAAGGAATCTTGTATTTGTGGGAAGGGCTGTAACAGTTAACTCTTCCCTCCCTCCCTTCCTTCCTCGGGATTGAATTACTTCCTCATCCTTGTTTATTTTTTTTTTTTATCTTGAGACAGGGTCTCAGTAAGTTGTCCAGGCTGATCTCAAGTTTGCAATCCTGCCTTAGCCTTCTGAGGAGCTGTGATGATAGGTGTGTGCTGCCACACCCTGTTCATTTCTCTTAGCAGGAAAAAGATGGACACTCAAGGAGCCCTGGCTCATATTCAGTAAGCTCCCCACAGTGGGGATTGAGTTATTGAAGAGGGCTGCAGGGAGGAGGACTTTTTTTTTTTTTTTTTTGTACTTGCATCTTTGTTATGAAGCTGAACTTTTTAATGAGATTTCTCTTTACAATTATTCTTTTAAACATATAATCAAACTTCTTAGGTATACATGGAAAAAGTCACCTATATTTTTGCTATGATTGTACAATTAATTTAGAATTTTTGGTATTCCATCTTGACCTTATTTTTAGAGTTACAAACATAGGTATCTAGATGTATTCTAGTCTGGAGTTTTTTTTTTTTATCTTTTAATTTAATAAATAATAAATGTTTTAAGTGTTGGTAAATGGGGTTCATTGGGACATTTAGACTGCTTTCCCCATTTATAATAATTCTAGCTTTATATTTCCATCAATAGAAGAAATAAAAAAGAATGAGAGTTGAATGAAATGACTTATCTACTAACAAGGTCAAAGTTTCAGATAAGGTAGCTATAGAGTCAGTTAGAACAAAGAGAACAATGCTGTTCTGGGGCCATAAGACCTCCCCTTCACCTTCCCCATACCAAAAGCCATCTTGGAAATATAGACCCATGGTCTTGGGTAGACTGGGGCATGGAATATCCTATCTCACAGCAGTCACATGTAGAGCTCATCTGTTGATGAGGGGTGTTACGCTGCTTTCACCATGTTAAAGACAGCATGTTTAGAAAAGAAACAAAGGGTTCCTTTCTCTTGCTTCTTCTCGCCCCCTTTCACAAAAAAGTTAAAACACTTTAATCCCTTCTTGAGCTGGAGCTTAGGTAGGATAGCCAAAGTGCTGAGGTGTTCATCTTCATGGACTAGGAATTCCTTTTGGATTTCTGGATTTCTGAGTACCACGGAAATAAGCAGATGAGAAGACTTCAGAACTGGGGTCAAAAGAGGAATTCAAAGTTTGTACTTTGAATATTTATAAAGTGCTGACTATAGACTTGCTGCATGCACTTTTCAGACTTTGTATGTTTTTCTAGATATTCTGGTACTGTATTTTCTATACAGTTTTTATTAGAATTGTGATAAGAGTCCTAACATTTTTTTAACAATTATCTTTTTAAAAACTCTATTTTTAATTGTGAGTAAAAACATATAAAATAAAATCTTAGTTCTTTTTAAGTATACATTTCAGGAGATTAAAGTATATTCATATCATTGTGCGAAAAACCTCTAAAACTTTTCCATACCTATAAAAAACCAACTGCTTATTCCTCCGTTTTTTCTTTCCCAGGGTAGCAACCATTCTTCCTTCTGTTACTGAGTTTGACCACTCTCGATACCACATATAAAATGGCATCATATAAGTAGTTGTCTTTTTGTGACTGCATTATTTCATTTGTGTAATATTTTTATAGTTCGTTCATGTTGTGGCATGTGCCATATTTCCTTCCTTTTGTTTATTTAGTTTTTTTTTTTTTTAATGTGGTGCTGGGAATCAAACCCAGTGCCTCAACACATGGTAGGTAAGCGCTCTACCACTGAGTCACAACCCTAGCCCGATTTCCTTCCTTTTTAAGGCAGGAATTAGCCTTAAATTAGCAATTAGCATTTCTACCTTTAATTTTGTGAGGAACTGCCTATTTTAGTCTATTTTCTGCTGCTATAAAAGAATACCAAATTGGGTGGTTCACAAAGAAAAAAATTTTTTTTTCATAGTTCTGCAGGCTAGGAAGTTCAATATCAAGTTTCTGCCATCTGGTGAGGGGCTTCATGCTGTACCGTATCATGGCAGAGGGCATCACATCGAGAGAGAGAGAGAGAGAGAGAGAGAGAGAGAGAGAGAGAGAGAGAGAGAGA